TTCCTGAAGACGTAATTTGGAGTATCTTCTTTCTTGTGCATAGACAGGGAGATGTCAAAAGAGCAGTCTTTCAAAATTTAGGGAGGCTTAACACCAAAAGAGCGGGAAATTTTTAAGGGAATGTTCAATTCCTTTGCGATGCACAAACAATGGTCAATTGCAGATGGTGACTTTGGGATTTTCTTCGCAATAATAATCTTTCTTACGTCATCACCGAGAATGGATTCGTTTGAATTAAGAAGCTTAGGGACTATTTTAGCTTTTAACTCATAGAGTCTATTTTCTAAAGTTGGGAGACCAGTTTCAATTATACTATTATTTATGGGCGTCGGCCGAAAAGCATAACAACTTGCTCTAACGGCTTGGTGATAGACCGGTTTAAGGATGTTGATATTAGATTTGCAGCTATTGCCATAAATTATCACAGTCACAAGCATTTTGGTAAGATAAGCAATAGTGTTAATATGCGCATGGCTTCTCCAAGCAACGTATTGTATGAAATTTACCCTTGTTAAAAGGGAGTTTTTTAACCGAAGACAGTGTGCTTTCCAACGATAATTGTTGGAAAACGTGAGCCCGAGAACATGGAGCGTCTGCACATTTAGTACTGGTAAGTCGTTAATATGCATCAGTAGGTTTCCTGCATCGCACATTTGTTTTCGACAAATGTGCATTTTTTTTTATTTTTGTATAGAAATTTTAGCTCCTGACGAGTTTGCCCATGTGAAGATCTCACATGCAATAGATTCGAGGATGTTGATTGCTTTCGTGTTGTCTTTTTCTTTTGTAAAAATGTGTACATCGTCCGCGTAGAGACAATGTTCCACTCTTGGTACACGGAAAAGAATTTTGCTTATTTCGTTGAAACCGATCTGGAAAAGCGTGACAGAAAGAGGAGATCCTTGCGGAAAGGAATCAGAAAGATGATTGTTGATTCTAACTTTGAACCGCCGATGCGACATGAATGATTTGATGTAGTTGAAGAATTTTTGTCCAACATTCCATGATTTCAAGAGTCTTAAGATAACATGAAGACCAACTCTGTCAAATGCTTTTTCGAAATCAATTGAGAGAATTGTTACGTGATTTCGTTCGGAAATTGCTTTGCTTGTGAAATAATCAATATGTAACAGAGCGTCGATGCACCCCCTACCCCACTGAAACCTACTTGTTGTTTTGTTATCAGGTTCTTGGACTCAAGAAACCAAGATAATCTAGATGCTATAATCTTCTCTAATACCTTAGAGAGGCAAGATAAGGGAGAGATTGGGCGATGCGATGGAGACATTTTTTGACTTTGGAGTTGGAACAACTGTTGCCAGTTTCCACATGTAGAGTATACGGCCAGTCATAAATACCGTATTATATAGGTCCAGTAATTTCTTTTTACTAGACTTAGACATAGCACTAATCATTTGGAATGAGATGCGGTCTAGACCAGATGTCCTCCATTTCAATAATCGATATTATTTGAAAGAGATATTGGAGTCCTTTTATTTTCGATGAAAGCACTGGAGAAGATGCTGTCAGAGGAGTATTCGCACCACACTTTTCCAAAGTAATTAGAAATCTCGTCTGCGTCAGTTAAAGTTCCATTGGGAGTGCAGATGGCAGAAATTTCGTTCAGGTTTGAAGTCCCATTAAGTCTGTTGATTTTGTCCCAGACAACTTTCATCGATGTATTTCTGTGAATTCGTCTCGAGAAAAGTTCGAAACTAAGTGCCTTTGATTTCCGTAATTCCTTCCTGAATAGAGCGGAGTACGGAGAGTACGGTATATGCGTCGCGCTTCGCCCATGCTACAGTAATTTTCTGTTTTGATTTCTAGTATTTCACGCATCTGTACAAAACGTGGGCATTGTTTGTCTAACGCTGAGTGTTGATCATTGCAATTTATGCAGAAACTACGGGTACAGCTTTCAGCATGTGGAGGATGACCACAGTTAGCACAAGATGCAGTACTAGTGCATCTTTTTACCGTATGACCCAGGTGTTGGCAATTTTTACACCTCATAGGATTTGGGATGTATAGTTCTACTTTACATTTATACCAGCCACATCAACTGTTCGCGGTAATCGATAGCGATCAAAAGTTAAAATAATCCTTCCTGTAGGAGAGCGTGTTTTTCCGTCGTCATTCAGTTTGGTGAATTTATATACTTCAGTCACTCCTTGATTGCCCATTTCGCGGACAATTTCATCTTCCGGCACATGCTTTAAGCAAGAGGCATAAATTACGCCTCGAACCGATTTAAGTTTCTCATGTAGTTTAGCTGAAATAGCACATAGATTAGCTAAAGATTTGGCCTTTATGAGCTTTTCGGTTGCGCGCGGGTTCCCAGCGAGGACCAGTAAATTCCCACCGCGTAGAATCGAGATGGAGTCGATGTATGTTGTAATGCTATCTACAGCTTTTTTTATAGCAAAAGGGCTAATTTGGGAAATTGTTATTCTAGCATCGATTGAAGAAATAACAATATAGTTTTAGACAAGTTTCGAATTTAGGCCCCTAACATTTTGATAAAGGAGAGATAATGGGGCTGAAGAAACATTTAGTTTTTTGAAGGCGATAAGACTATTGTTTTGGTTTTACGAGGATGATCTCGAGGGATAAATTCTTTAATTAAGGATCCTACTGGCCACAACGGTTTGGTTAACAACATATCACTGTTGTCTGTCGGAACTAGTATTTTACAAGAGGAAATTGCCCTAGATTGAGAAGGAGCTATTTTGAAAATGCTAACGCGCTTTAAGTTGACTTTCACCGCCAGATAACTTTTTATGTTATCCACCGATGCTTCAGGTGCCAGTCTTGACACAAATATTGCTTTTCTGGGAGGAACTGCCGTCAAGCAAATGTCATTACTTGGAACAGGAGGGTTGAAGGTTGGGGGGTTTAGGGTTGGGGAGAATATAGATGGCGTTATCGCCCTTGCACCAGCAGCTTGTGCGACTTGCCCAGTCTGGTGACCATGCGAACAGTCAGGGGGAGAGGATGATTTATTTTTCTCTTTATTATTTTTAGGCGATGGCGCTTGATTAGAGTGAGTGGCGGCTCTGGGAGGAGATACCCTTGTCACTACAGCGTAGGTTAAAACCAAAGGATTTGCCGGCTTGTTTGTAATTGTTTTGTTACCATCCGACTGAGCAATATCGGAAACATTAATGTTCATTTTAGAGTTAGAGGGAGCGGTAACTTGTATCAATGAATCAGAATTGGAGGAACTCAGAGGTGACGTCCCACACGCTACGCTACGAGTTGTTATTTTTTTGGCTTGGGTAGAAAATGAGTGCTCAATAAAACGACACTCATCAAACCTAGACTTAATTAGCTCAAACTTCTCCCACAAGGAGCCGAGATTTCTACTCAATTCCGAGACACCATTTCGCGTCTCCGTGAAAAGTTTGTAAAAATCAATGTCCCTCTGCCTAAAGTCAGGACATGACCATCTTAACCCTTTAGAAGGGTCAGCGACTGCATCAGCAGCGCGGCCGAGAATACCGACACACTTTGCATGATCAAAGCGTTCGCAGAGCCAACAATCTATCCGATCCCGGGCCTATTTTTGCGCGACAAGGTGTATATAAACACTCCATATCAGTCTAAAAGACAGAAGTGGTTTATGAAGAAACAGACAAACAAATTTTGAAAAAAATATCCTCAACATAAAAATTTATCAACCAATTTGTTCAAAACTTCTCTGTTACGTTGACACTGTAACGAAAGATCAATAGCAAAACAAACTACAAACACCGAAAAAATAACCAGAGAAAAAGAGATAAAACCAAAAAAAAAAAACAAAAAAAGAGAGATTTATATCCGAGCTCAAAAGTTTTATTTGCAAAAATCCACTGTATCAAAGCGTAAAGAAAAAATACTTCTTTTGCTTTGAATTCGCTCATTTTCTTCTCAAAGTATATTATAAATTCACACACTATAAAGCAAAATAGCCACGAAATTCAACAAAAAACTAAAATATTAATTGCCGGAAAAATATACAGAGGACTATACCGCGCGGCAGAGTTGCCAGACTGATGTGTGACTATGTTGTGACTGATAAATTAATTTTAGAAATAAAACTAAAATTAAAAAAAGGATTAATGAGTTGGATTGTCCTCAATAAAATAGGACAACTTCTATTTGAGTAGAATAGTTGGATAGAAGTTTTCTTAAGAAATCACATAAAATATGTCGAATTCATACTGGATCAATTCTAAAGGCAGACTGATATGATGCAACGCGAACAACGTACAGCTAACCGCCGATCCGGCTAATGTGCCTATTTTATTCTGCTCAAATTATGTTCGCCGAGGGATCGGGACGCACGCTGAGTCCAATCGTCAGCGCCAGCATTCGTTAAAACAAGCCGAAAAACAACGAACTGGGACTGAAAAATTGCAACTCTCAGCAAGGCCTTTCGAAGCAAACTGAGTACCAGTCAACACAATTACTGTCTGTCTTACAATGTCAATGCAACTGAACCGAATGGAATAACTGAAATTGCATACTGACCGCATTCAATTGGCAGATGATAAATATACCTGTAATGCACATATGATAGTCACAAAGAAAGACTGCCTGCCGATCACACACAATAAATGTAACCCGAAGAACAATCTAATACCGCACATAATCGTAATTAATTCATCTCGATTATCAACCGTAATAATAAACACAGTTTGAATATGATATCGTCACATAAGACAATCCGCAATATATATTATTATTATACAATGCGCAAGGTTGATGAGGTTTAATTGGGGTGAGTCGCGCAAAATACGAAAGATAGCCCAACATTGAGGTTTGATCGACAAGAAGTTCCATTGGTCAAAAAAAAACCCATAAAGTTAACGAGCTTTGACTATGCAGCTATGATAGGAAAAGTAGTAGTAGCATGATAGTAAAAGGGTTGATGGCCAAAATGTTCGCACCTTACTTCGACAACTACAATCAATATATCTTATATTATACAGCTACTTTGGGATATTATGGGTACTAACCAGTACACAAACTTCTCTTCTTTTATATTAACTTCCTTATTGTTATTTGTATTTACGTTGATTTTTTTATTTTTGGTTTTAAAACTATATGCTTTTGTTTATATTTTTCTGTAAAAGATGGCTGATCGGGCGGCAAAGAATGCTGCTTCTGCACCGCTAATTATGGATGATGTCATAGAAAAGTTGGATCTTCAAAGATACATTGGAAGAAAATTTGAAGAGAAATTACGGAAGGAAATCTACAATACCCCCATCAGCAGTACTCTTTTATTGGCCCTCAATTAACTCCACCTTTATATCCCACAAATATTGAAAAAACCAAGATCCAAACTTCTTCGAGAATATGCGTTGGTCATACAATTGCAACTCACCAATGGATCTTGAAGAAGTCTTCCTCCCCAATCTGCAATTGTGGACAAATTCTCACTATAAAGCACACTCAACATAAAGCGACTGCCTTAACTTATCCTTGGTTAGAAGTATTGAATTTGGAACGATTAACCCTTTGGACATTCTAAAATCAGCTCCAGAATCGAATATCAATTCTATATATTACTTTGTTAGTACTACTAAGCTCATTATCTAATATACATTTATTTAAATTAGAGCCGATAGCCTGTGTTGCTAGTGCTCAATGTCTTTTTTTTTTAGTCTAAGAATTTATTTCATTAGTATAAAATTTAAATAATAATGATAATAATTTTATATATATTTTGAAGTTCTCTTCTTGATCTTTTGCGTATTGTATTACGTTAAGAAAAATTTTTTAGGAATGCCTCACCAGGTGATCACAAATTAATGGTTTTTTTGAGCATCCAACGAATAAATATTTATATGTTTATACGCAAAAACATGCACATATGGAGATTAACTTATTCCGTGCAGAGTTTTTGTTCCTTTTTTTGTATAATTTTTGGTAAGACAATTGAAAATGTGCCCGGGACAACGCCTCGAGATCCCGACACCTTCAAAGTAAGGATTGAATATTTAGATCACCGAAGGCATGTAGGTTCTCGTATTCAAAAGATTCTTTTCACAAGGGTAACTTTGCAGAAATCCACGTGCAAAAATATATATATTTTAATGTACGTTTTGGACAAATAAAACCATTTATTTCCATGTTTTCGGATTTACGTAAAAGGATTTGAAGCATGCCACTGAGCACTTCTACATCTTACAGAATGTCTTTTTCATCAATCTCGATGTTCCGCCACTTCCAAATAACATAATATGAACAGAAGACCCATTCCGTCTGATGTGTATAAATTTCTCAACATTTCCCCTTTTTCCCCTCTTTTTTGTTTAGTAAAATGGGCTAAGACTGTTGGTGATTTAAGAATACTTTTAGACAGGAGAGAAAAAGTTTAATTACAATTATGATAACTTAAAAGGAGAAGTAAGCAATTTTTATTGAGGCAGTTAGCTTCTTAAGATGAGAAGTGAGATTAGATTCGTCGTCCGTTCCGATTTAGCGAAACCAATTTTCTTCCGGTGTTCGAGATGCTAACGTACGTATGAACAACAGAAGTTCAAATCTTAAACGAAATCGGAGATATTTTATCATATTTCGGTTTATTCTACACACATCTCGCACACTTATTAACAATCCCTCACCCCTTATACGAAGGACCCGCACTATATGAGCGGCACTGCAAGACATTTATTCAGTCACAGCTTGGTGAGCGCGCATTACCAGAAAATTGATATGATCCTCAACACTGTCGCGAGAACTACACTTAAAACCCAGGCTAGAAACAATACTAATAAATTAAATATAATCATCCTGTTAAGGTCGAATGTGGTGACGCAAAAGCAATACCTCAGCATCACGTCGGGGTCACCAAATGTTAGAGGTTCGAACGCAACACCTCAGTATCACGAAGACGTGCCAAAATGTTAAAGTCAAAATGTTGTTATTTTGAATTTATTTATAAAAGATCAAGAGCCTAATTGGTTGATATAATTCGACAAGACGATGCGTCAAGTCGTACCAACTTATTATATTTGGTTCTTCCAGCACTTGTAACTGGAAGAAACCGCTAAACAAAAAATAATGATCAATGTAATCTCAGATAGTACAAAGACTGTTTGCTAGCAACTTTGGGGTGCCCAAATGGTCAGCGGGGTGCTACTTAGTTGGCATAACTCAACCAGACGGTGCGTCTGGATGTACCTACGCTTTGGGGTGCCTCTCCAGCACCTGTAACTGAAGAAACTCTGAGGTAACGAAGAGGTGATCAATTTGTTGCAAAAAGACAATTTTATTGATAGAAAAGTGACTTATAACTTACAATTCTTATAAACTAATTAAGAATTATGTTGCCATAAAATGAAATTATAAAAATGATGCACTTGCATTTTGCGTTTATTTATTTCCAGCAATATGAACCGCTTGAAGTGTACCACAAAAATGCAATATAAGCAAATTGATGTAAACCATCGACGACACACTTCAAGGTCTGGATTACGTAACAAATCATATTGTTGTCTGTGGTCAGTTGTATGAAACGGAAAAACACAGAAACGCGATTTTGCAAATGCAAGTGCATAAACAATCGAACATAGTCATGTTGATATGTGAATGTGTAAATGAAAGATAGAAAATTGAATGAACGTACATATATTTAACTTAAGAACTGAAATTGAATAGAAGTATATACTTAAAACTAAACACATCCAATATTTTAACAAATGCTAAGGAATGAAAACCACAACTAACAGGTTAAACGATCGTGGTTTTGGTGTTGTCAGAACTTAATATTGAACTATTTAAATCGGACCAAAAAAAAATGCGAACCAAATCATGGAGGAAAAGGCGTTTCATATGTCCAGTCATGTTACGCACACTATTCCTAAGCCTCCGAAATGCTTCTACAAGCATTATGGAAACTCTTCCAATGTTCATATGTCTCGTTCCATAGACTAATAGCTCATTTGACTTAAGAGAAAAACCAGGGCGGCTTAGAGGCTCTAACCTTTCATATCTTTATAGGAAGATGGTCGTCAAATAACGCAGAAAGATGATGCAATAAATAAAACCATTTCTGGTTGAAATCAGCAAATTTCAAAACGTTACTTTAACAAAATGAAGAAGCCATTACTCTTTGCACTTCAGTGGACTTCAAATTATATAAACATAAACCCCTCGCCAGTATTATAATTGATGGCGATAATCAAGCACGCAAACATCAATTCATGATCACATATCCCACCCAATGGATATTGATCGTAGTGTATAACAGAGGTTCTGTCAGTAACACAAAGAAGGTCTACCAAAGCCGATCTGAAACGAGGAGCATAACGAATGGGTCATGATTTGACCAATTTCAACACTGAAATGCAAAAATCATGTAATTACCTTGCGCGCACAGCACGCAAGAGTATATCAACACTGTGGATTATACAAACACATAACAAGACATTTGGGGTTGCTACCACTTATCTCAACACCGATACACTCTACCACACTGTCTTGGTCAGACTTCAGTACAATCTTAGAATTTATACCCTGCTTAATATAGAAGGCGATACAATAGCCCCGATCAATATAAGTTCTGCCATGACGAACAACATTGTAACTGCTAATTTCACAAAATTCATGGCTTAAACCATGTTTCAGTCTTATATTCACATAACACCTGCCTCTAAACAAAATAGCAATTAAAACAGTCAATCGTAGGTCTATTAAAACTCCGCAACATTAAAATGTCATATTTGAAATCCCTTATGCTTTCCACTAGCAATCTTCAGGGTTATTTCTATATTAACACTACCATTATATAAGTTGAGGTATCCAATATAACCAACTTTCTGCTTGAGCATTTTCAGTTCGTTGAGTTACGCTGCACAATCTGTAGTTAACGTAAAGTGATTAACCTCGAGGCCCAAGTTATACTGGTTGTTTGTCCTCGTACAAATTATGCATTTAACTAGATGATCTTTATGGCATCCTTTGGAGTGGTGACTATTGTGACACTTATAGCAAATGTAAGCATTCTTGCAATCCTTCGCGGTATGATTAAAATCTTTACACTTAAAACATACGATCACCTCCGCAGCACAATATAGTCTTCTAACCAAATCGCAATTTGCGTTCCATCAGAATCTGAGAGAAGGCTAAATAATCAGTTTCAGTAAACGTGCTATAATGGCTCCTGCCCTTTTTGGAAGCCTCATAGGGTCTCTCAAGCCTATGTGAGCAGTCGCCGAGAATAGAATTCTGGCAACACAATTTATCAAAAAGTTCATCACTGCTATCATTAAAGCTCACATCCGCTAATTTGAACCGAGGGTTGAGCTTATTCGGCATCTTAACTTTCGCTTTTATCCTCTAATCGTAGCCACAGCGGTCAATAAGGACGACTTCATTGGTCTTGCAGGCCACGCCGGAAATTTTCAACTTCTTCGGGTCCACTTTCTTCAAATCCTCTGTCTCAAAATGCAAATAATTTTTGAAGGTCGATGATTTTCATCCATGAAATTTAAAGGAGCATATTCCTCGCAGCTTCATGGAATAAATTGGAATAATTCGTAAAATTCCAATTAGTAGTAACGAATGCTTAGCAATGCGGAATATCAAAAAAATTATTCTGTTATTGAAAATTCTTCCCCTCCACAAAATATTAGAAATATGTGTGTTGATGTCAACAAGATTCTTACAACAAAAAATTTCAGGCAGATTGTTGAAAATAAATCTGAACTACCGAAACCGATAAATCTCAATAGTCAATAAAATCTACTGATTCTCAAAGAAATAAAAAACTTTGTAAATGAACAAGAAACTAGAGAATTTGAAAAACTTCTTAACGAAATTTTCAGAACTTTCTCTGCTATTGATGATGGAGATGAACTTATAAAAATTGTTAAAAAAATTTCGGTTTTCACATCTTCTTGCGATATAGTCCAACAGTCTGGGTCCACTTCAGTGTTAAATCTCTTATATCACAACATAATATTGCAATATTATATATATTAGTTATTATAAAACCAACCAATCTAAAGCTTAATGTTGTGATAGTGTCTGCCTACTTTCCAACCAGTACTCCAAAGCAATACTTTAAACACGAAATAAAAAGACTTTGCGGTTTTTTAGATGGTTATGGCAACGTACTTCAGGCTGGAAAGCTTAACTCGAGACACATCAGTTTTGGTGATGTGATTTCAAGCAACAGGGCAAAAGACCTCTTCGTTATTATAAATCGTATTTCCTTCAGTCGTTTGAACAAACGTACATTAACATTTTCACACGCTGATGGTGGTTCGAGCATTGGAAGTTCATTAAACCTGCCTTTTTCAAATCCTGCATAATTTATTTCTCAATGCGAAAATGACGAAAGATACTTATCTAGT